TCTTCTCTTGACTCTTGACGGAGGCAGTCGCAGTTTCTCCTTCTCCCTTATCTTTCCTGCTTGGCTTCTTACGTCCTTTGTATAGTCTCGCTTATTCTCTAACCCTAAGAGAGTCTTGTTCTCTAAAAACATAAAGAAAAATTATGGATTTGATCAACTGGTCCCTTAATGGAATTGACACCCTCCTGGGCTTGGGAGAGTCTGACTGTCCTGCGGAGATGTTTGCTGCCAGATACTCGATGGTCGGTTGCGCCGTGTGTCTGGCGACACTCTCCATGGAGGACATTGAACGACATCTACCAATTTGGAACTACGATAACAGAGTTCTGGCTGATTGGAGCTGGCTCGGACCTGGCTTATCGAAGAACAAGGAGCGGCTACAGCTGTTCAAAATCCCACAAGGCTGGCCGACGTGATATATGATGGGCAGGGCTGTGAGTACTCAGACTGTGTTTATTGAATGCAATGTGGACAAGATCTTGGAGAAGCACATGGCTCTGCTATATGGATAAGATCTTGAAGAAGAACAATGGGAATTGAGAGACCTGGTGACCAGTGACGGACATTAGACCTTACTGTAAAATGGGATGCAGTTTGTTCGCACTAACCAAAACAACTACCATCTTCGTCTCATGCGATAGTATTCAGGAAAACACATTTTATCATGACTCTGGTTTTATGTGACCTATCAACACAATGTAAAAACTGGTATATAGTTTGAAGTCCCCACTTTTAACAGAGAAATGGAGACTCAGGGTTGTCGCTATGTCATCTGAAATTGGTCATGTGATTGGTTTACCATGGCTATTCTTCCTCAGCCAATCAGCAGCACCTGTGTGATTGTTTTGCCCCACTAGCTCCCGGTAAGCTGAAGACAGCTTCAACTCTCTGTGTGTTGAAAAGTAGTAAGACGTTGGCACCGCATTTTCTTGTTAATAATGGTAACAGCGTTGTAACAATAGAAATAGTAATTTGTTAGATTACTAATTACTGAAAAAAGTAACTGCGTTAGTAACGGCGTTACTTTTAACACCATTAAAATTTGTTTCCCCCTGTCTCATTAGTTAGATCACATTCAGCTGTGTTGCTCCCAGCGGTTTGTTCCCTTATTTCTCCTTGTGTGTAATTATGTCTGTGTATCCCTCTGTCCTGCACAAGATCCCCCTCCTAACTGGCTGTGTGCACGGTTTGTTGGCTTTCTGTATACCCCAGTTTAGTTTATATTATTTCCTGTCTTCCCAGTTGTGTTACCATATGCGATAAGGGCCCCACACACAGAGGATTTCGCGCAAGTGCAAGTGGTTTTTATTTCATTTTTTGCAGCTATTTTTGACGTTTCGGCGCCAATCACTCGGGAACAGCTGCTCCATTCAACACCTTCCTCCGCCTCCACCGTCACTATATATATACACAGAGAAGAAGAGGACCATTACGTCGAGCACCTTCACCTGCCCTCTCTGCCACACCTCAGCACTGCTCTGAAAGCTAACTGTACCGCTCTCCACAGCAGCAGGCCAGAGACCACACCCCCACTGCCCATCTGAGGCCGGGGTCACATCCATGGCATGTGAAAGCTGTTTTTTCCAGGGACTGCAGATAAGGGAATCTTCCTGTAGCCCTTGGTCAAATCCAGTGTCGTGAAAAAGCGGGCAGTGCCTAACCACTCCAGGAGCTCGTCAACCTGGGCCATGGGATAAGCATCGAACTGTGACACTTCGTTCACCTTGCGATAGTCAACACAGAACC